AGGGGCCTTGGGTGGAGTCGGACGAAATTGATTTCCATGCTCTGTTGACGCACTGGGCTCATATGAAGCAAGAGCGCACGCAAGGGAGAACGAAGTTTATCTTCTTCAAACTCCGCATTAACGGCCGTTACATCCGTGCGTTGGCTGATTGTGGCGCAACCGCCAACTACTTCTCACCGCACGACATTCGTAAGGCACGCTTGGGGATGAAGCAAGTGACTTTGCAGAATCCTTGTCGGACCCAAGTGGGCAACCAAGAGGTTGTCACTTCTACACATGCAGTCAAAGGTGTGCGCACTAACTTTGACGCAGACCGCACGATCACGCATGAGTTAAACTTCTATGTCCTTGATTAGTGCCCCTTCGACGCGGTTATTGGCTTGGGCTGGTTGCAGGCCCAATGTGAAAAAACCACGTGGAAGGACTCACAATTCATGGTCAAAGATGCCATGGGAATCGAGCGTCCAGTCCTCTTGGATGAGCCACATGAGTCCCAAGTAACTTTTCTAAATGCAATGCAATTCTACAAAAAGTGGCGCAGGCGCAAAGCTGATGAGCAAATGTATATAGCCTTTGTAAGGCCTGCTCATGTGCCTTCTATTTTTGCTGTACATAATGATTTTACTTTGCATGCAGTTTCTACTTCTGATGCAACTACTTCTACCTCTACTAAATCCCCTTCTAGTCCAAACGACTCTGCTTCCAATTCTGTTGTCTTGGCTGCACCTATGCAATCCGATGTGCTTGCACCAAAGAGTGATGATCCACCTCCAGATGTCCCATCAGAGATTCGCAACCTTCTCAACCGATTTCCTGAAGTCTTGGCCGAACCGCATGGAGTCCCCGTGCGTCTGGTCCGACACAAGATCGAGTTGATTGAAGGTAGCACTCCTCCAAAAGGTTGTGTCTATCGAATGGGCTCAGGCGAATTGTAGGAGTTGCGGAGGCAAATTGATGACATGAGTGGGAAGGGATGGAGTAAGCCAAGGGAATCGGAGTTCGGTGCACCGGTTCTATTTGTCCCAAAGAAAGGAGGCAAACTACGGATGTGTATCGACTATCGCGAACTGAATAGAATCACAAGAAATAATGCCTATCCTTTGCAGCATATTGATGATCTGCTTGATGCTGCAGGTGGTGTAAAGTCTTCAGCAAGATCGATCTCAAGTCTGGCTACCACCAGATTGAAGTCGATCCTGCAGACCACCACAAAACTGCATTCAAAAATCGCGATGGGCTGTACGAGTTTACTGTCATGCCCTTCGGCCTCGCGAATGCACCAGCCACCTTTCAAAGTCTCATGGATAAGGTATTTCGCAATCAGATCAATCGATTTGTTGTTGTATATCTGGATGACATACTAATCTTCAGCAAATTGATGGAGGAACACATGAGACACCTTGAGGAAGTGTTGCAGGTCCTCAAGGATGCGCAGCTCCATCTCAACTTGGAGAAATCTGAGTTTGGGAGAGACAGCGTCATCTACCTTGGGCACCGGTTGTCTGCTGCAGGCCTAGAGCCCGAGGCAACCAAAGTTGAGGTCATCCGCAAATGGCCTCAACCGGCGAAAGTCCGCGAGTTGCGTTCTTTCCTTGGTCATGCGTCGTACTACCATAAGTTTGTGCCCAAATTTTCTATCACCGCCCGTCCGCTGTCTAGATTGACCAGCAAGAATGTGTCCTACACATGGGATGGGGAAAGCACGACCGCCTTCCAAGCACTAAAGGAGGCTGTGGTGAGTCATCTGGTGCTCCGCATTGCAGATCCCAAACTTACATTCGTAGGAACTACGGATGCCAGTTTTTATGGGATTGGTGCAGTGCTGCAACAAGATGACGGCGACAACTTACGTCCGCTCGAATTCTACAGCAAACGTATGCCCAGTCACAAGGTAGCTGCCTCCACTTACATGCGAAAACTCTATGCCTTGAAAGAGGCACTAGACCATTGGAAGCACTATCTCTTGGGTCGCCATTTCAAAGTGTTCTCAGACCACGAGACCTTGAAATGGATTCAGACACAGAACAATCCCTCAACTACACTGACCCGCTGGCTGCATGAGATTGTTGTGTATGATTTCGAACTTAGACACAAGAAAGGTTGTTACAATCGTGTTGCGGATGCTTTGTCTCGCCATCCTGAGTACATGACTTGTCTGGTGGGTTCCTATGATCTCCGCAAGAATTTGAGGGAGAAACTCATTGAGCATATTGCCAAGGATCCGGAACTCAGTCCCAACCTTGAGCAGATTCGGGCTGACCCTAGCAGTCAGCCTGATTTCCATGAATGTAAGGGCATACTTTTCCGACGGTACGTGAAACACGACCGACTGTGTGTACCTAACCATGAGCCGATCCTCACTCACTTCTTAGACTTGGCTCATGGCCGTAGTGGACACTTTGGTTTTGAGAAAACATACGGAAGTTTGCTACAAAAGTTTGTATGGCCTGGAATGAAAGGAATGGCACAAAAGTTTGTGGCTGAGTGTGAATTCTGTCAACGCATCAAACCGTCTCGGCAGAAGCCCTACGGGTTGCTGCACCCTCTTCCTATTCCTGATGGCCCGGGTGAGTCTCTTTCCATCGACTTCACGGACATGGGGAAGAAGAGTAAGAATGAATATTCGCAAGTAATGGTGATCGTTGACCGCTTCTCAAAGTTTATGAATCTGATCCCGTTACCACCTCATGCCCCAACTGATCTTGTGATCAAAGAGTTTCACAATAAGTACATTCTGCAGTATGGACCCCCGAAAACTGTTGTGAGTAACAGGGACACTCGGTTCATACGTGCAGATTGGAAGGACTTCACCTCCCAGACCTATGACATGAAACTCAAGCTGACGTCTGGCTGACATCCTGAAGCAAATGGACTGGCCGAGGAGATCAACCAGACTGTGATCCAACTTCTCCGAGCTCTAATTGTGCCTGATTAGAACTCTTGAGATGAGGAATTGCCGATTGTGCAAGGGTTGTACAACAACTCCATACACTCTTCCACCGGGATGACACCTAACCGGCTGCACCTTGGGTGGAAGATTCGCAATCCCTTATCTTATCTATTTCCTGAACAGCCACCTGGCCTGACACCTGGCCAGCCAGGCTACAACGCTAAGTTTGATTGTTTGCTCAAAGTTGTTGTCGCAGCTATGGAAAGGCGACACAGTGCTATGATTAAGCATGCAAACAAGAAGCGCCAGCCTGACCCTTTCACAGTGGGAAGTTATGTTTGGGTCAAGATGTCTGAATTTTCTGAAGAGGAAGGCATATCACGAAAGCTTCTTCCTCAGTACTACGGTCCGTGGAAGGTGTTTAACAGGGTAGGAAACGATTCCTTTGGTCCTTCTTACACAATCGATGTGCCTCCTCACCTACATACGTACCCAGTTTTTCATGCGTCCAAGCTGTTTCCGTATAAATCACCCGAAACTTTCAAGTACCAAGAGTCAATGATTCCTCGTGCAATCCAAGGAGGTCACGAAGTTGATAGAATTGTCGAGCACAGTGGGAAGGGGAAAAACAGACAGTACAAAGTCCATTTTCTGTACCACCCGTTGAATGACTTCTACTGGATTACTAAGAAAGACTTGCTGCAGAGCGCCCCGCGAGTTGTCAACGCATATGAACGACTGGTTAGCTCTGAACAGCAACCTAAGTTCACTGCTACCCTCACTCCTATGGAACATACCCGATCTCTTTTTGCTATTTACGCATATGATGCATTATGCAGGGACTCTGATTGAGTTACTCGCTCGAAGGGACCTCGCTCTTGAGGGGGGGGTAGTGTAATGACCCGCCATAAAACAGACTGAGAACACTGCTGATTTATGAAGTTCTGCCGATGGAATGGATGCCCTGCTGAGATTCCCGCTTTCTGCTGTGTTTTCTAAGTCTGTGTGTGTGCGTGCTTGTGATCTGCGTGCCTGTCTGAGTGCTTGCCGGTATGGGTGTGTGTGTGACCCGCAAGGGTATTTGCTTGTTTGGCAGGCCCGTAGGGCCGGTACCAGTCCATCCAGTCTGAGTCTAGAGCCTGTACGGGCAATGTCAGAGTCTGCAATGATATTTCCCTCCGAAACGGAGGAGGTACCGGTTGCTTGGGAGGCCGAGCGGCCTGGAAGTCACCACCCAAGAGGCAAGCAGGCCGCTATATCAAAAGGCTGAGGCAAGAGCTCAGCCTCATTCTTCAGTGTGCGAGTTGGGCGTCACGCTGCTGGAGCGT